GGGGGGTGTCCCCTTTTAGTAAAAAAAATCAGACAACTTTTGGAGAGAACACAGCCCTAGTAACTTATAATGGGACGGGTTTATTAATGGGTCAACATTGAGGGACACCCAGAGGCTTGAACAACTGTGACATGTTTGAACCAGGGGCCCTGGTTGGAGTGCTAGCACCAGGTGCGTGCCCTTCACGTGTGTTTCGAGTGAGGCAACCTTGCACCGCAAAAGCGCTTGGTACCTGTTGCTCTTGCCCAGTTCAAGCTGAGAGAAATTGAGTGAGCACCGCGGGCCAGGGCTTGTTACCTTCAGGCCTGGTACGTTTTTGGCATGATGGCCTGCCCTCACAAGCTATGCTAGGGCTGCTTCACAGCGCAAACGGCTGCTGCAGCTCCTTTGGTCCGGCGAGCCACCCCTCACACGTGTGTTTTGGAGGGTACCCTTTTGCAGTCGGTTGAAAGGGGCATGAAAAGGAGCAAAGAAGGAAAAGAAAACGTTTGTGTGGGTCCAAACGAGTCCAAATCCCTGTTGATACCCAATTTCTCAAGAACCCCCCCCCTCCGGCCCGCCTGGCCAGTGATCTGCATCACCAGGCGCGGGCGAAGGTCCTGCCACAGCCTCGCCTTCTTGATCAGCAGCGCCTGAAGCTGAGGGACGGACCGGTCACGTCATGCGGTGATTTGGCCATGGGTCAAAACCCCGTACCCCCCAGTGAACATCCCAATCCCCACTAACACAGACTAACATGGGTGGTGCACCTATCCCAAAATGGTACCATTGGTTTTGAACCATGGCCATTTCTACGTCCGGACCATTTGGTGGGCATCCACGTTACCTCGAACTTGTGCCCCCCAGCCATTTTCCAGGAGGTTCCTCAAGCATCATGGCGATTCCAAGCAAGCCGCCTCAGCTTTCGCAACCGAACAACATCCTGGTCCATTAGCCGATGAACCTTACAACGCAGCACAATTTCAATTCGTACCAGTTGTCATTGACACGAGCCAAGGACATGGGCACATCAGTGAGTCGCCTGGGTAGCTCGAAGCAAATCAAGTCCCTTTTCGGAAGATCAACCGTTTACGCAACCCTTCATTGATTGGTTGTTTGGATTTGTGGCTTGGGGATTTGAAATGCTGGTCCTTGTAGAGGGTGCCTAACCTCTAAAACCCAAACCACAAGCTAGAGGGACACCGCAGCATTTCCGAAACGCATTGCCATCTAAATTTGCCTCAAATGGTATCAAATGGTGACGTCACAGGTTCGGTCCTCTGGTCCATTTGGGGGGGACCACCTGGGCATTTCATCAGCAGTCTTGTCACAGCTTTGTCACAGCTGGCCGGAGCGGACATGGTAGAAATGGTGTACGGTTTCTCGCCAAAAGCAAAGTGCGGTTAGAAACACCTGAACTAGATACGGGGCAAACGAGGAGTCCACCACACATATCATCAAGCTCCTGGCCCCTCACAGCTATCCTTTCTCACCTGCCCCGTGCCTCGTGCCAAAGGCGCATGGTATGTCGGTGGCGAAGGAGGGTAACCTGCTCCAGCCTGCAGACAGAAAGTGGATGCTTGCTGCTGCATGGCTGCAGCCCACACGACTCAGCTTCTGCACTAGCACTTCGGGTGCTGACTGGTCACAACTTACTGAAGTTGGAAATTATGCAAGTCAGCACTGACAAGGCCTTGGGCCGTCACCGTTGGCATAAACTGCTCGCACTTATTTCGACACACATGCTGGCTAGATTGGCGCTTTGAGAAACCCCTGTGCACCACATCACCCAACCAACCAAAGCGGGAGGCATTTGATCATGAGGAAGGTGTGCTCGATCTTTGCAGTTCCCACCTGGAGATTCATTCTCCATGAATTTCCTGGTAGTTCTCGGCTTTGACTTGCTTTTCGTAAATATCGATGTTTTTTTTTGGGTGAAGTCGCCTAAAACTACTAAAGCTCCTATATTTTTGTGAGATTTCAGAATTGGTACGGTTTCACGTTTTCCCCGCCCAAAATTACCCGCAAAACGCCCGCAAAACCCCGCAAACGCCCGCAAATCAGAAAAAGACGCTTTTTGGGCTCGGGGGTCGCGCAACACTCCTAGAAACCACTTAGAACGCCCAACACGCCCAAAACTACCAGGAAACTAAAACGCCTAGGAAAAGGCTGGAGAATGAATCTCCAGGCAGACTGAATTCCACGTAAGCCACGCCTACGGGGCTTTCTTCCAGTACAGATCTTCAATTCTGTTGGCCCTGACGGGTTCCGAATTTCCCAGTTGGAGACAAACTTCCAAATAGATTGACAAAGAACCAACAAACGGCACCCACAAAAAAAAGTGCTCCCTCTGATTTGCTGGGTGTCATGTCAAATTTCAGGGGTATCTTGCAGCCTCTCACATCGAATTGCAGTGGTCTGGGACGTCTCGCCTTGAAACTGGCCTCTGGCACAATGTGTGGCTGAACTGCCCACCCACCCAGGACATCCGTGAGCTGCTTGCGCTACTTGCGCGCCAGATCCCCAACGCAGTTCCCATCATCCCTTGCTACCCGGTTTCAATGGTCATTCTTCATACCAGCTCAACATTCCAGTGATAAAACAAAAGCAAGATAGGCACGCATTTTGGGAAACAACACAAAACTGGTGGCAACGCTGAGGGCATTCGACGCCTTCACCGCGATCACATCGAACCGAATCCGCGAATTCGATCCGCGCCTCCTGTCCGCCTCCTCAGGGCTGCAGCGCGGCGTGTCCATCCGCCGCTCCCGGCGCACCTCGCTCCGCCGTTCTGCGGGACGGCCTTCTGAGTCGCTTGTTTTTGCCTTCCTCCTGCCTTTGGTCTGGGGGAAAAAAGGGATCCATCCCCGGTCGGTCTCCTTGAGGAACAAAATGCCCACGGCTTCCAACGTGCTATGGCTTGCCTGAGGGGAGGCCCTTGATAGGGCCTGGCGGGTTTCAAATCAGTGTGAGAGAGGTTTCAAATCACAATGAACCCGGCTTCATATTGCTGTGTCCTTTTTGGGGGGACCCCCTCCTCAAAAAAAACATGTTTTCCTTCTGGCTTCCCTTGAAAAACCAACCAAAAAGAAGCGCCCTCAAAAAACAGACCCATCTTGGCCCCTTCGGTGACGTTTCAGCCATCCTTCGTCGCCTCCTTTGCCACGTTCTGCCACCAGCGCAGCGCGCCGCGACGGCGCCGGGCCGTGGCTGAGGACTGCCAGCTGAAATCGGGGGGGTTGATCAAAAGGTCCGATAAACATGGGATGACCATTGGATAGACCTTTTGATGTTTATCGGACCTTTTGATGATAATCGGTCCACTAAAAATTGATGTGTTGATTGATAAGTGGGAATTATGATGCCACGTCAGATAAGTGGGAATTATCATCATTATGCTAATTCCCACTAAATGGAAAACATTGCCCTGAACATAAGACATAAAACCCACCCTGAATCTTGTCCATCCCGGTGACCAAAAGGCCCCAGTGCAAGAAATGGTCGGAAGAAACGAAACCTTTCTGGTGGTAATGAGGTCCGTATCTGCATAAAGATGGTTGGTCTCCTCTTGGCTCCCTGATACACGTTGGGCCCAACTCAAGAAACCCACATCAACATGGCCATTGCTCATCTCATGTTGGTTTACTGCACATGCCCTCAATGATGTACAAATGGATGAGGAATCGGCACCAGCAATGTCAGCCGTCAGCCACCATAACCTCTTGTCTAAACGTCTCGATTATGCATGTTGCTGTTCCTCTCCCCCCGCTCTTTGCCCATGCCAGGGACTAAGCTATGTCCCAACTAGCTGCCTGCTTCCTGCCTACAAATGCTAGTCGAGCGATTCAATGTTTGCCGAAGCGTAAGCAAGAAGTTCAATTGAGCAGCGCCCAAAGCACGTTGACTTTTGGCCCTGCCGACAATCATATGACATATGAAGGTTTACGCATCCTTACCGTAACCCAAATAAAGCCAGGCACTAGTTTCGCCTAGCAGAATGGCCAGGGCATGTGGCCAGGGTTTTTGCGCGCCCAATGGGACGGCTGCAGTGTCAGGCCTGCAAATGTCCGCCGTGGTGGTCGGTCGTCTGCCGGCGACGCTTCCGATCCTCCACGTACCTGAGGCAGTCAGATTCACGTGTGAAGGTCATGGCGAGCTTTGGGGGAAGCTCTTGTTCCTTAACATGTGCACACAGCCAAGACTAAGACATGTGTGTTTGACCCTTATTCGACCGCCCCCAAATCCCAAGAAGAGGATCCACCTCTCTCCCCATGTCGCGCTTGCATCGGGAGGCAGCTGGTTGAACCAGCCATTCTAAAACCCGCAGGTCCATCTCGGCCAGGGCACGCCACAAAGCGGCGGAAGACGGGCAGCATAGTCCACCGCCCCAACCTAGCCCAAGGCTGAAGCGCTCTGCTTTCTGAGCCAGCTTTCGCCAGGTAAACGCAAAATGGCACAAAGTAGAGGGAGATGACTAAAACAAAGTTGGGGAGTTGTGCCATCGACAAAATGGAGAAGCCTAGGGCCGCAATATCACAGTAATATATATATATATATGCATATGATATATATATATGATATGTACATATATATACAGTACATATATATATATATATCGATGTATGATTGCATCATACTGAAAAGGCTGCAACTGGGTCGCGTCATGTCGCGTCTGTTTGCTGATTGGCCATAAGAACGGGGGGAACTTGCCGCGGTTTCTACAGGCAGTACATGGGTAGAGTTGGTTTCTTTCACCACCAAGCTGGCTAAACACATGCTGCACAAAAACAAGCCAAACACTAAACACAACAAGAGACATTCGGCGCCGCGAGGTGGGCGGGCACTTGCTGGACTTGTTTGTTTAGAAAGATTTGGAACACTTGGCGCTTGTCATGAAATATGTTGGACACCACGTGGGTTGCCAACTTGAGGCACTCTTTGGGTTGAACTTGCCCAGCTTTGCCATTGACGACTCTGTATCGTGTACAGGCGTGGGCTGGCGCATTGAAATTATCTAATTTGTAAATGTGCAGCTCTCACCTGCAGGGGGATTTCCCTGCCCACAGTTGAGGGGTGGTGGCATGTATACATTACATTTCATTTCACTACATTGCATTACGGTACATTGGGGGCATTACGGTACATTGGGGGCAAACAGCGCATCTTCGAAGATTTGGCAGTCATGGTTGGACAAAATAATAGGGGCCGTTGCGCAAGTGTTGCTTTGCGGAAACACCTCACAATCAGGCAGCCTTGTCAGGCTTCCGCGTCTCTAGAATCTCCATAGCATACTGGATTGCTTATGGCTACCTCAACAGCAAAAACATGTCATTTCCCTTGCACCCACATTCCAAGGAAATCCTGTACCCCCTCCCTTGCACACATCATAAGGCAATTTGGAGAACCCCGCCAACATGCAACTACTGGGGTACTAGTAGGTGGTTGCATTTTCAAGGCACCCCCCCAAAAAAAATTATAACATATATATATATATATACATACATAAATATAATCATGAGGTTTTCGTTTTAGCCCCCCTTTTCAACCCGAATGGTACCCTCAGAAAAAGCGCTGGCCACGCCTGTAGAGCCCCTGCTGCACCTCCGAGCTCCTTTGCCGCGCCGCGCGCCAAGCGGCCTGACACGCGGATCTCGGGGAAATTTCGGGCCTCTGCCAGCGAAAGCAGTGGCTTACTTGCCCCAAGGCGGACCTGGAAAAAGGCGACCTCACTTTTTAAGGCCACTAAAAATGGAACAAATACCTGAATCTTCGTTTGCGCACTTTTTTCTGCTCAAATGCTTGTTTGCGCGTTTTGTGGTGTCTTTGCGCGTTTTTTTTTGAATTTGCGCACTTTTGAGGGATTTGCGCATTTTTCGGATGAAACTTCTCTGGTAGCCAAAGTCGGTACTACTTGTGGAAACAATCGATACTGCGCTGCTCGTGCCCGTGCCGGCGCAGCTGTTTGTTCAAGCCCTTGATGTTTACAGCATATCTAGCTCTTCTTTTGTCTCCACCCAAGCCTGTTTTAGGCAGGAAATTTGTGGCACACATGGCACCCGGCACAAGTTCCAGCTATCAATTGCACTTGACACTTTGTGGCCGTTGATTTAGCAACCCGCTTGGCTCCGTCAATAGCTCCAAGCTCGCAAGTATTGCCTGGGTTTGCACGGATCCGCTGTTTGCTCCAGAACTGTGCTTGCGCCACACTTGTTGTTGAGACAACTCGCCCATAGGTGAAATTAGTCGATTTTCGGCGCCTTGCCAGCCCGCAATTTGCGCGCAAAAATCCGGTACTATCGCACAAATATCCGCAATTGCGCGCAAATGCGAAAAGTGTGCGCATGCATGCGCGTTTTCGACCTTTTCATTAGGCAGAAGATGTCTAAAGCGCCCGACTTGCCAACCAAAAGGTCGGCTTTGAGCCACACGTGGTCGTCAGTTGAAGCGCCACTTGGAAGAGCCGTTCGGATCTCTTGCGTTCGGATCTCTTGCAATCTCAAGGATCTGAAACTTATGTCCCTTGACTGTCAAGCTGGCTTGGCAATGTTGAAGGCTATTCCCGACAACGCTCCGCAGGTCAATAGCCAAAATGCCCTTTGGATCCCTTTGGTTCCTTGGATCATCTAGGCGAGTTCTGGCCGAAAAGGCACATGTATCCTTGCCTAGTTATTTTTGAACAGCTTGACAGGTGCATGTCCAGGTTATACACACCCCGCACCTTTGCCCAAACCAGCAAGAAACGCCTCGCGCAGTTCTTGGAACTTTGCGCGTTTTTGATTGAAACGCGCACTTTTCCGTTGTGCGCACTCTTTTTTTTGCTCAAATGAAGATGCAGGTAGGTTGGTTCGCGTTCGATAAGTGAGCAAAAAACTAGACCACGGTTGGCCCGAAAGCATAACATCGCAAGCGAGGTCGGCCAAACGCTGCAGGATGCGTTCTTTTTCCGCACACGAAGCATTTGTGAAGCAAGCGCGAGACAGCACCAGGCAAGGTGCTCTGCGCAAACTGGTCGGTGCAAGTTGGTCTGCGCAAGTTGCGCCGCGCAAGTTGCTCCGGCAAGTTGGTCCCTGCAAGTGGCTCCCTGCAAGTTGCTCTGTGCAAATTGCGCTCCCTGCAAGTTGCTCTGTGCAAGCTGCTCTGCGCAAGTTGCTCTGTGCAAGTTGCTCTGCGTAAGTTGCTCTGCGCAAGTTGCTCTAGGCAAGGCGCTCTGCACAAACTGGTTGGTGCAAGTTGCTCTGCGCAAGTTGCTTCATTGGCAAGTTGCTCTAGGCAAGGCGCTCTGCGCAAACTGGTCGGCGCAAGTTGGTCTGCACAAGTTGCTCTGTGCAAGTTGCTCTGCGCAAGTTGCTTTAAAAAGCAAGTTGCATCTTGCGACGCCCGCCCGCGGACCAGGGAGGAATCGAACCCGCGACCCGCCGGTTCCGGGAGCAGGCGCGCGAACCACGAGACAACTCCCGAGGACCAGTTCGAACAACAAAAGTCGCAAAAAACCTCGAGTTTTTGCACCTCGACCACGCCGAT